GTCAATAGCTTTGTAATGTTGTGAACAACCAATAAAAAAATAAAATTAAAAAAAATAAGACAAAGCAAAACTATTGTAATATTTAAAAATTCTCCATGAACAGATTGCCTCCTATTAACCTCTATACTGGAGTTGGGTTATAGTGATCTTAAAGAAAAAAAAAAAAAAGGAGAATTTCATGAGTTTGAAGTTAGAGAATCCTCTAAGAAGGAAGAGGATTTGAAAACTGCCTGAGTTAACTTAGTTCACAAAAGCATCTCTAAAAAAGTGTCCTCATACAGAAAGTAACAGAAYATGACATTCATATACTGAGACACAAGTGCCTTTATAATATGATTTCTGACTACCTATAAAGAAAAAAGTCTGACTACCTATATCTGCCAACTGAGCTTCCCTGGTATAGAGTAGCTCTGAAATTAAAAACCTTTTTTTAAAAAATTAAAACCATATTTTATTTAAATGTTAGAACAGAGTTAGACTCAATAAATATCAATGGARTACAATTTGAGAAGTTACAGGAGGATATATTTCAGCAATCTAACAGTGTAGCAGACATAAGAATCATCAAATTTGAAGCTTTCAAGCATAACTTATTCAACCTAAATACTCAGCTAAAACTTCTTTGAATTGTCTAAACCCATCATGATGTTAAAGTCCTTCAAGATATAGAGCAGGCTGCTGCTGCTACCTGGGTGCTCCAGGTGAATCCCTGACACATATAACATATATTTTTTTCCAAACAGAGAGAGCAGAATAAACATGTACGTTTTYACCACCCATATCTAGCATACATTAACATTTTACTTTACTTGCTTCAGATTGTTTTTAAATGGAAAAAAATAGAATTAAAAATCCTCTTTTAAATCCCTCTCTCCCTTCCCAAAGTTAGCACTAGCCTGAATTTATTTTACGTGTCATTTCTATATTTATTTTATAAAAGATAACCATTTTACACTTACTCCCTTAAAACATTATTTTCATTACATACATATGTAAAACCAATAATTTWAAAATTTTTATATAAATGGTATCATATTGTATGTACTACTCTACAACCTTTTTAAAAGGTTGTAGATTTGTTTACATCAGTGATTATAGCTCTAAATTTTTMTTTTTAATAGATGTATTAAAATGTATTTATTCATTTCCTGAAAACATTTTGGTTGCTTCTTTAAAATTTTTTTTTAAAGAGAGAGAGAGAGAGAAGAGAGAGAATTTTTTAATATTTATTTGTCATTTTTAGGTGGACACAACATCTTTTTTATGTGGTGCTGAGAATCGAACCCAGTGYCCCGYGMGTGCCAGGCGAGCGTGTTACCGCTTGAGCCACATCACCAGCCCTCCTCCTTTAAAATTTTTAAAAACTGCTATTAAAAATGTTCCAATATTCTTATAAACATTTCCTCATACACATGTGTAAGTTTTAGCAGGGATAGAAATACGTGGTTATATGGGATATATGTTTTCTGTTTTATTTAGTCAAATATTCTCTTCAGAATGGTTATAATAATTAGAATTCTACCAGCAGATAGAATGATAATGCCCATATCCCTACAATCTTAACAAGATCTGTTTTTTTYATACTTTAAAATTTATGCTATTCTGTCATGAAATATTATCTTGTTATAATTATTGTAGGAGAATCTATTGTGATAGACTGTATTGCTATACACTAATATCCTGCCCCTATCTTTTTGTAGTACTAAGGATTAAACCCAGGACAWTGCACATGCTAGGCAAGCATTCTTCCACTGAGTCAAATCCCCAGCCTATCATGCCTCTCCATATGTATCACTGTTCTGCTGGACAGAGGATTGGCTCTACGACTTGCTTTGGCCAATGTAACGTAAGAAGTTCCATGTGGCCTTTTCATGGAGGAACTTTTTGAGTCAATGTATGTTTCTTTATGTTTTCACACCACCTACTAAGAATGGAAAAAACAGATAGACGCTGCAATGTCAGCATGGGGCCTGGCTTATGGATCAGAGCCACATGGTACAGGGCCCTGATAGGCCTCTGAATGACCATTTAGCATGACCTTATTTTTTGGACTGTAAATTAATATTTTTTGTCATTAATTATTTGGGCTGTTACTAAAAAGAACAGAACCTATGGTCTGTTTCCAATTATTCCTCCCACCCTACCCTTTTCCTAGAGGTGTGAYACCCTATCTCACAGACTTTAGGCTTGGCCATCTGATTTGCTTTGGTCAATGGAATTTGAGTAGAGAAGTTGTATGTGACATCTCAKGAGGAACATCATCAAGGCTTACACTGTTTGGTTGTTCTTCCCTRAGAATCCACTTTCCTTCATGAGAACAGCTAAGACATTTTGAGGCTGGATTCATGTTAAGTATATCTATTATATATACCACATAGCTGGACAGAATAAGAAATCCAATCAGACAATCTTGAGTTTTAATTAGTGGGTTTAATCTGTTTACATATATTATAATTGCTGGTCTCTTTGAATTTATCTTGACCATATTATTTCTGCTCATCATTCTTTTTCTCTAGTGTGACTGACTTTTTTAGAACTTGGAGGCTATTCTTCCACTGTCTTTTGGTATCTAAGAAGTCCACATAGTCAGCATTACTTTGTGGATGATCTGTTTTATGTAGTCTCTTGGTTTACCTGTCAGTGAGTAACAGATTTATATSTTTAGCTTAGTCCTTTCCCCTTGAGCCCACAATTGAAGAACCAACTCCCAGCAGTATCTATACTTAGATACTAACAGATCTCTTGAATTTAGCATATCAAAGCCAAACTCCTCYCCAATCCTGTACCTCCCTCAACATCTCTATCTCAGTTAAGGTCAACTTCATTCTTGCAATCACTCAGGTCAAAAACCCTTGAGTATTCTTTCATCCCTTCCATCTGTCTCATCTTTCCAATTACTCCATGACTACCCTCAGTGTCTAGAAGTTTTGTAACTGCTTCCAGGTTCCATCCAGTTCCAAAATCTAGGATCAGATCTCACAGTTGTGAATGATTTTTCAGCCATCAGAGTTTGCTTTTGTCTGTGACTTCTTCCAGACTATTTCTATAAGCAGAATGGCTCTACTCATCTCCAAGCAGTGAATATAGTTCTGTTTCTTCATCTTACATCAATATGGCCTCTTCAACTTCACAGAGCTYGGGTACCTGACACCATAGCCTACTCCCAGCCTTGGAGTCCAGCAGGCTTGTCTGTACTGTGAGCCACATTTCCAATTTAGTGTTTTTATTCATTTTTGCTTCATGGAGATTGCTTATATTGATTTTAAAGCCTGGATGTATTTTAAGCATTTTTCCTGTRCATTTTTACTAACTTAGTGAATGGTATCCCTTCCACCAAATATCCTAATTAAAAATTTCTATTTCTAATRTATCATAATGCCTATCATAAGAGAGCAATGAACATATATAGAGTGTTTATGTATTTCAAAATAAAAACTACTTTTTGAACCATCACATCTTTCTGGACATTATGTTTAAATAAAAATAAGATTAGGCTTCTATGCATGAAGCCCTAGAAATATACTTAGAATTAAAAAAAATCAACCTATTCATATTTATAAGTAATAAATCTACTAGGTCAAGATGAAAGACTATTTTAAGAATTTTGAGGTGTGTTGAAGTGTTCTAATTCTATAAATATATATTTTGGTGGTGCTGGGCATAAAACCCAAGGCCTCATGCACACAGGTAAGTGCTCTACCAGTGAGCTATATCCCTAGTCCCTAATTCTACAAATGTTCTTAAAATACTACTACTAGCTGGTTAATATGAGCCAGAAGTTCTTCCTTCTTCATTCACAGAAATTTAAAAAAATATATTTCTAACTAGTCATAATAATACAAACGTTGATAGATAAACCAGTCCAAATTCATGTAAGTGAAACTCAGGACACTTCTGTAACTAGAATGAAAATACTGACCTCGTTTAACAGATAAGCCAGCATCTGTCAAGATATACAGCTTTGCCTCTGCTTCTGTCATATCTTACTTTGTGAACCCATGCAGTTCACTGCCTTTAGGACTAACAGTTTCCTTCCCTCTAAAATCATGATGATCCYGTGATTCCTCATGTACTCTGGTTCTATTTTTCTTGCTATTTATTCCTAATAGTTTYTCTAACTCTCATTTGGAAATTTGTTTTACTTTTTCTATACTTTATTATAGTTTCCTTAAAATTTAGGTTCAATTTAYACTGCAATTTTTAAAATGCAGAGATTTTTATAGGAAAAAGTTTTTCAAATAAGTATTATGAAGCAAAATCAGTTTATGGGAATCAAAGAGAAAGGTAAAACTCATGCTTGATTTGTTTATTAAATAAAAAGATCAGAATTTATAGAATATATTAAGCTTTAAGCTTTCAGGGTACACAGTGATTAAGGCTTTTTCACCTTAACCCTAAGAACACATCACAGCAAGACTARTTTTTATTATCCGGGAATGAACAAAAATTAAACCTTTTAGATTATTAAAATCTTTTGTTCCCTTTTCATATTTTACTCAAACTCTTCTTGTAAGAATATCATCAGAGCTAGGTGCAGTGGCATATACCTGTAATCCCAGCAGCTCGGGAGGCTGAGGCAGGGAGTTTAAACCCAGCCTTAGCAAATTAGCAAGGCCCTACTCAACTCAGTGAGACTCTGTCTCTAAATAAAATATAAAAAAGGGCTGGGGATGTGGCTCAGTGGTTAAATGTCCCTGAGTTTAATTGCCTGTCAGGAGTCAGCCATGGGCTGTGTGTGTGAGCTGTGAGCATTTGAGTACATGAGTGAACTGGGCTGCTCTGTTTGGGCTGTGCACAAATGTGTCCTTTTCACTTGCTCTGCCTTTGATCCCACACAGCACCTGAGATGGGTGTGGCTTTCCAAGATGTCAGTCAATCTGCTGACAGCAAGACATCAGGAAGCTAGACTTAACCCCCTGAAACCTGACCCCTTGCCTTATCTGGAAAGAACATTTCATCAAACCTCCCTTTGTGTGCTCCCCCTAGAAAAATAAAGAATCCAGGTGCAAGCTCTCTCTCTTTCCAACGGACCCTTAAGGTCGAGAACCAYCCCTGATTCCTGCAAGSAGAACGTATTTCTGTGTTACATGCTTATTTCTCTATTTTTAAAAAATATTGGTGCAGCCAGCTCTTGTGAACCCAGCTCAGGCCACCAGCCCAGCTAGCTGGCAATAATTCCTGGTACCCGCCCCCCCAAAAAAAAGGATATCATTAGTATATCCTCTTCATATCTGATGGAAAAACTTCATCATAAAAATTATGTTCAAGGATAAATGAGTTAGCTGGGCACAGTGGCCGGCACATGCCTATAATCTCAGTGATTCAGGAGGCTGAGGCAGGAGAATCACAAGTTCAAGGATGATCACGGCAACTTAGAGAGACCCTGTCTCAAACTTATTAAAAAAAAAAAAAATTGAACCCAGGGGGACTGAACTATATCYCCTACATCTGGGTCAAGTCCCTCTGGGTTCAATCCCCAATACTGGAAGGAACAAAAGGGATAAAAGAATCAGGCACATATCCACACTATTGTTCTTACTATTGCTCAAATGCCACTTTTACAAGATGATTAATAAATGAATGTGACATAAAGGTGGTATATTCCTGCAAAAGTCAGAAGGAAAATCAGGCTTAAAAAACAATATCCTTTAGCTTTTCTTTGAATACAGTAATAGCTCCTGTGAGATGCAACAAGTCTCAGCTGCTTATCACATGTGCAATTGCCTCACCTCCAATTCTTTGAGGTAGTTAACTGTTGTTTCTTGTCTCATTAATATGACTAAGTCATGGGGATGCTTCAAGTTCATTGGTGAATCCACCTGTAAATAAGCAATAAATAAGTAAATAAAATTCACATTTTGCTAATGACTAGATTAATAGTTGCCTTTAATATGACCTAAATCATTATTCAATCATCATTACGATTAAAGTTAGTTGCTCAGTATTTTGAAAGTGATCATTTGTAGGGGTGGGGGATGTAGCTTAGCGATAGAACACATGTTTAGCATGAAGGAATCCCTGAGTTCAATTATCAGAGCTCCTCCCACAAAAAGGGATCACATGCAAATTTTAGCAAAGGGAATAAGACGTGCAAAGGTTATCCCTTGAACTCGAACTTGAAATAGTATGAATCAGAGGTAAATATTCTAGCTTGACAGGTCATGTAAGGATTATTCAAGAAAAGAAATATTTGGCAATGAATGAATGATAAAAAAATTTCCTTAAAAGATGTTTCAAGCCTGTAATAACAAAAAAGAGACTATCTTGTTTTGATAGTACATTCCATAACGGAATCAGTTTGGAAGCAATAAAATGAAAATATTAAAAGCACCTATTTTTGAAGGCTATTTGTAGAAGTCATAAATCAAAGAAAACTTAAGATAACCTTCAGATTTATTACTTACAAATCATGTTTCCTGGATCAACAGATCAAGAGACTATGTTGCTGAAGATGTAGAAAAAGTGAATTCTCATTCTGATAGAAGGCTTATAAATTTATTCTCGATTGGAGGATTGTTTCACAACATATATCAAAATGATAAAAATGCAGTCTTTATTTAACAAAACAAACTCTTAAGAAACTACCCTAATATGTTCTTAAACAAAGATATATTAATGGTCATATCTTTATTATTAATTGATATATACATTAATATATCACAACAACATATTTAGCTGCCAAAAMAACACACAAAAAAACCTAATTCCAACACCAAAGGAATAAAGAGACCCATGGTCCAATGGAATGCAATTCAGGAGAAAATGTAAACATTATACAGCCCATAGCCAGAATATAAAAGAGCTTTATATAAGGAAGTCAAAGAAAGTCTACTCACTTTGCAACATTGCCCAGACCTCAAGAGACAGCTACTTACTACATAATTCCATAGGTACTGCGTGTATGTGTGTGCAAACGCATGCTTGTGTATTCATTCCCTCCCACTTCCATGGCAGTGCCCTGGGCCTCACGTATACCAGGTAAACACTCTACCATGGAGTTACATCTCCAGTTCTATAGGTATTTGAAAACAAGGTTTTGGGGYGTGGGTGGGTGGATGGGGGGAGTAAGTAGGGGAGAAGAAAGGAATATGGAAGTATGTCATTTCCATTTCAAAATTCCTAACCATTCTGTTTATCTGATGTTTGAAGAATGACAAAAAGAATGAAAGAATAATACAAATGAAGATTTAGAGAAATATTTAAAGAATAATTCCAGCTTTAGGTTAAAAAATTACTAGGCTACCAGGTGTGGTGGCACATGCCTGTAATCCCAGAGACTTTGGGGCCTGAGGCAGGAAGATAGCAAGTTTGAGGCCAGCCTCAGCCAATTAGCAAGGCCCTAAGCAATTTAGCCAGACGATGTTTCGATAAAATAAAAGGGCTGGGGATGTGGCTCAGCCTGGGTTCAATCCCTATTACCCAAAAAAAAAAAAAAAAAAAAGTTACTATGTAATTAGCATTTTATCATGTTCATACATCATGGGTCTAGCCAATTTTCATTCTTTTTTTTTTTTTTTACAGGGATTGAACCCAGGGTACTCAAATACTGAGCCACATCCCCAGATCTTTCTTTAAATTTTATTTAGAGACAGGGTCTCACTAAGTTGCTTAGGGCCTCACTAAGTTGCTGAGACTGGCTTTGAACTTTGATTCTCCTGCTTCAACCTCCTGGGCTGCTGGGATTACAGGTGTGCACCACAGTACTAGGCAACTTTCAATTGTGAGGAAGTACTTTTCATTCCCTTAAAGTTTTTAGTTCATCGTGCTATATAGTGTTTATAGCAGCTAGAGGAGATATAAAGATAAAATTATTAGAAGGGAAGGGACAGCTGTGTTTCTCTTTTTGAAGTGACAACAARTGGTATGGACCTTTGCCAGATAAAGGCTTAGCAAAGGAAGATTTATAATCTGACATATATTTTTATTGGGGTAACTTCAAGTTCTTAAATTTTAAGATGTTATCATAATTATCTTTGGCAAATGTCAACTTGAATTTCTCTCCTTTTGAACCTCTCTTCTCTGAAGATTATAAAAAAGGRCATGTTTGACAGTTTTGTAAATAACATCTATTCACAATAAATGTTTATTAAATCTCTATACGMAAGGTCCACAGGGAGTCAATATTTGGAGTCTGTGTATTCCTATTACATACAATGTGTAAAGGAATGGCAATGCCTTTAAAATTTTTTTGTTTTAGTAGTGGCTATTGTAAGCTCAGGAGCAAAATGTGACAGGCACTAGAAAAAGGCAAATTACAAAGGGTCTTAAGGCTAACACAAAATCTCAAAGCACTTTATGGCTTGTTCATAAAGGACAAACAACCTTACAAATTTCCTATTACTGCATAGCACAATAAATGTTGCTTATAATGACCTGGATCATAAAAAGAGTAGAATTATTTTCATCTTCTCTACTTAAAGAAGGTAATAAATAAGATTCATTCTCTAAGACTTAAAGGTAAACAAAATTTCACTGTTACTATAGAAATACTTTAGTAAGGAAAATGACAAAGTATTCATGTCAATTAAAATTTCTTTTCCTTTGAATACATTATATAAATATATGCATTTAATTATTAACAAAGGTACTGATAAAAGTACACTTYCAATCTGGAGCCCTATCTTGGTGTTCAGTAAATTCATGTAATAGATGGAAATATCACTACATAAAGGTGATTATTTCATTGCCTACCTAGTAAGATAAATGGCAAATGTTTTAAACTTAAAATAAACCAATCTAAGGCTATAAATATTTTTGACATTCTATTAAAGCAAATTTGAGTCAATCACTTTTCAATGATCCTTTATGAAAGGAAATTAAACATTTCTACTGTAACTTTAATTCAAGCCCTCTTACACAACTTGTTCTTCATATACACTGAACATTCTTATGTTATTTTTTTAAAAATAGTATTCATCTGAGGATATGAAAGCAACATGGGAAACTCTTCTCCCAATAGCAGTCTGAAACTGACAAATGAAATATGTCTTACTCATTTAAAAATTCTTCCCATTGAGTTATAAACTAGGAACAGAATATTTTAAATCAAATGTTCGAATTTTTAGATTATTTAAATATAAAACAGTATTATGGCCAACAAATTAAAATCTTCAAAGACACCAAGATTTTAGCTCTATATAAAATCTGAAATGATCCTGCTTGTTAGATAGCTGCAGCTTCTGTCAACCAGTATACATAACCCCCTGCAAAAGCACCTGTCTTGCTTGCTTCCTCACACAGGATGCCCTGCTCAGTGGATTTCTTTCCCTTGGTCAGGGATGCTCAAGCAAGAGGTTTTTTTTTTTTTTTTTTTTTTTTTTTTTGAGATGCTGGAGACAGCCATCTTGAATTCACAGGGGCCTAAGAAAGAAGTAGAGACTGAAAAACATCCTTGTTATATGGTTAATGCCCTGGTTCAAACTGTTATCTGTAGTACTTAGTCTGCCCAAACACTTCAGTGAAAACTTTACCATTAAAAAAGCATTGATGCTGGGCTGGAGGTAGCTCAGTGGGAGAAGCATGCAGAAGGCACTGGGTTCTTCCTAGTATGTGTGCACAAACACATAGGGTTGATGCTGTTTCTAAATCTCTGCTTAATTTTTTAAGGCCTAGGGCCCGTGGTGGCTTTTCAAGAATCTCTGTGTTTTTGCGCCTGCTGCTTCCTTTACCTGGAACACACTTCTATTCTTAKGCTTCTGCAAAAGGCCAAATGACTTGGTTCAAATGACATTTCTTTGTGAAGCCACCCTTCTCTTTGAGTTCCCACAGTACTTTATATATACTTGTGTAACAGCATGTATTATACTGTTTAATTACTATGTCTATCTCTAAAAAAAAAAAAAAAAAGTTTACCTAGTCCTCTTCCTTCTCTCAATATATAAAGTGCTTTGGGTAAATGTCATGCACTTAGTACATTATGGACTGATGACGGTGTCTGATGCCACATTTGCTTGATATTCCATTCCTAAGGCATGCATTATCATTCACTGATGACTACTTGGAAAGGAAGTGAAGTGGCTAAACCATCAGGGGTCAGAAACAAAATATGTCATTGACTGTATGGCCTATGACTAGTCGAAGCAAATCACCTTTCTTGCCTGGATTTCTGTTTCCTGATTTATAAGCTGAGGAGACCCAATCAAATRACTCCTAAAGTTCCCTTAATTTTCAAGTCTTACATCTTATAAAAGATTTAACATTCTCATTAAAGTATCAAATCTTTACTAGCCTGACCTATACCCCTGAAGTAATTCAAATAATAAATTCTTCCTTGCTCTGGGCAGGGATGATTTCCAAAGCAGYAGTTAAAAGCCTCTTTTAAAATGTCAATTTGTCAAATTAAGCCAAGGCTCCAATTAGTAGTGGCTATTTCTGAGCAGTTAAGTTGTTCATTGTATCACAGGCAAAGTTAGCTCTATCCTGTGCCACTCAATTCTAACAACATTCAACTTAAAAAGTATTTTTTTTCCCTGAACATAAGCTATATATCACTATGAAGACAAACAATATAGATGATATCAAGAAAAAATAAAAATTAATTGAAATCTTACCTTCAAATATATCTGCTATCAGATAAATATCATGTCAGGATAACTTCTACACAGACATATGTAGATATTTTTTACAAAAATGGGAAGGTATWATATTGTATCCTCTCCCTCACCCCTCTCCATACTTTGTATCATACTTCTCTCCCCAAAAATGATGTGATCATTTTTAGTGTTAATATTATAGTTTTTGCCAGGTTCCTGCTAGCAAAAATTATAGTGTTTCAGTTATTCTCTTTTTAAAAACAATACTATGATAAATATTCTTTCAC